ATGTGTTACCTCACAGGTCGTCCCATACTAATTTGGTTTAAATCGGAGCATTGGATCATGAAGAACTTAAATTTTAAAAATTACTTGTTATATTTAATAAACACTGTAACATTTTGATGTATCCAATGACTTTGTTTGGGTTGTCCCACCTATAAAATATTCGAATCCCTCTCTAATCCATGTCCAACCCCTACTAAGTAAGTTTTAAGGATAGCATAAGTAAATACTAAGATTAGACATGGGTTCGACAAGCACATGAGTGTCTAAACTGTAGTAAGAGTTTTTATTTTTTGAATTTTGAATTGTGTCGTTATTGATACATGCTGCAAACTATTGATAGGATTAAAGTTAAATAATCAAAAAATCTTTCTCCCAGCGAACTGTAAAAATTAAAAATTTTATTTAATCCTTTGATTCGCTACGGCTGCGCCTTTCCATGAATGCTGCACAGGAAAGTTGTCAAAAATTGCATTGAAATTAAAATTTTTTAAACATTAAAATGCTATTTTTCAACATTGACTTTTTTCAAATTTGTGCGTAAATTTCTTAAGTTTCATTCCTTTAAAAAAATTGTTTAGCTCAGATTTTTTTTACAACCAAACCACCTTTGAGAGACTTTTAAACGCAGACCAATCAAGTGAAAGCATAATATATATTTCATCGACAAAGTGTTTGCGAATTTTTAGAGCAAATTCAATTAATTTTTCATACATTCCAAATAAATTCAACTAACCCAATACATATCGCTTATTTATTAGGCCAAACAATGGAAGTTAATTATGCATAAATTACCACTACCTCTTCTTCTTTGTTTGGTAAAAATTTCAAAGCTGTATCGATTACCAGTATCTCATTAGAAAGAAATATTTATGCATTCATTTTTATTATGGGAGTATGTATATGTAGATTCAAAACTTATAACCCAGCTAGCACATTTGCCAGACAATTTCTGATATCAGACAAATCGGAATAAAAAGTTGACTATTTAGACAAGTCTTACAGGTTTCTGGGCGAAGTGTCCGGAGATTTTTATTTATTTCCTTATCCGATATGTCTGATCGAATTATGTCCGATTTCGGGCATACACGTCTGATAATTCTTATTTTCCATGATTATTTGGTCAGACATCTGTTAGATATCCGTCAGAATCGTCGGTAATTAAGTCAGAATTTCCCACGTCGTGTCGGCTAGACTTCCTGTCAACCTCTCCATACGCTTCTCTGACCGATATCGGCCAAATCATACAGATTTTTGACTTTTTTCCGACGAGTCTGACGGATACCTAAGAGATTTATGGCAATTTTGCTACCTGGGAAGCCATTTATATTGAGTTTTTCTTTTATAATTATGACACTATTGAAGTAAATGAGCGATATTATCGAACTTAGAACTGCTGTACAAAAGACTCAATCGAATAATTTTTGCAGGCTTCTGTTGAAGTCTATCTAGTACCATAAAGCGGATGTTTTCAGAAGCCGGAATATATGATAATTTGATCGTCGAAAAAAAAGATATATCTTACATTTCTCTATAAACAACTTCTGCGGACGCCTTCATCTCAATCTCTTACGAAAATTTTCGTCGAAGAATTCTTTTTTTTTTTAATTTAGAAAAAGGGAAATACTAATGGCAACCAGGTTCCAACTATTCGATGAGTATTACATTTTTGTGAATACTGTTAATGCCGAACCGTATTAGTTAGTCGCCATCTATCCTAAAATAATTCAGTGCGTACCAGTTTACTCAAAGGATGTCGTCATCTATATATTAATACGCTAACATAAATATTGTCTCCGTTCGTTTGGCAATTCTACCGAACCGATTTCAAAACCAATAATACCGTTGGAAAGGCATTTTTCCGTAGATGAGCAGAATTTTTATGGTTTTACAATTGGTTGAAAATTACGGCCAAAACCGTTGTTTAAACACTTTCGAAATGTGTATAGATGTTGCTGCAACATGTTTCGCCTGTTGTTTCACTACACATTTGAAGTTAAGCTTTGAAATAGAGATAAATATGAAGATGAAGAAATAAATGAGAATGATGAAGTAAAAAAAGGGCAAAAGTGAAGATAAAGACGGAAATGGAGACAATGACAGATACGTAAGAATTAGGGTAACTAAAAGGGTAAGAACATTTCTTGAAACTTCTTTAGCGGTAGTTGGTTGATTTGGAGTAAATTGTAAAATTCAAGGGGAATAATGCACATGGAAGTGGTTCTCAGCGGTTTAGCGGTTTGAAAATAAAAACAAAAACAAAGATGCCTAAAGGTACAGGCAAACACGAAGATCAAAGAAAATTTAAACACTTTAAGGTAAAAGTGAAGAGGAATATGCAAAAATAAAGATAAATATTGAGGATGAAGATCGATATTGTTATCGATATAAAACCCGATATTTTTATCGATATAATAATCGACATTGCTATCGATAAAATAATCGATGTTGTTATCGATACTGTTATTGATTAAATAACAGCTATTGTAATCGATATAATAATCAATATAGTAATCTCACACATCATCACATTATATCACATGATATGAAGAGACATCACATGACATTACATCACATAATATGATATCACATCATACGATATCACGTGACATGATATCATATGATATGACATCACATTATATGGCATGACATCACATGACTTGACATCACATGATATATCATCGTATGATATGGCATGGCATTACATGACGTGGCATCACATGATATGACATCATATGGTATGACATCATATGACATGACATCAGAGGATATGACAACACATGACATACATCCTATCACATCACATAAAATCACGTCACATCTTATCACGTCATCGCACCTCATCTCATCTACGTGAATAGTAAAAGAAAAGGATATAAGCAAAGATGTGAAAGATAAAAACAAAGATGAAGACCAAGGTAAAGTTACCGATTTCAAAACCAAAAACACCGTTGGAAAGGTAATTTTCTGTAGAGGTGAGTTTTTATAGTTTCGAAATTGGTTGAAAATCGTCGTTTAAAAATTTCCATATTTGTGTATGGTTGTTTTTGCAACCTGTTTAATTTAAGCTGTTTCGCATTTTGTTTTAGTTCGTATTTGAAATTCAACTTGGAAATAAAGATAAATATGAAGATGAAGAAACAAGTGATAACGATGAAGACAAAAAAAGGCAAAAGTGAAGATAAAGTCGAAAATTGAGATAAAGGCGAAAATGGAGACAATGAGAAATACATAAGAATTAGGTTAAAAGATAGGAATCGAAATAAAATCAGCCATAAAGGTTACTGAATTTATCGAATCATCGAAGTTTATAATTATCGAAATTTATCCATGCTTATTGAGTTATCGCAACGTATCGAATTATTCAAACTGATCAATGTTTATTGAGTTGTTGAAATTTATAGACACAGAAACTTATTTGTCCAAATTTACGGATAGTTATCGAGCTATAAAAACATGTGGGATTAACGAAATTTGTCAAGTTAAAGAAATGTATCAAGTTATCGATACTTATTGAATTATCATTATTTATAGACTTAACGAAATTTATCGAGGTGTCGTAAGGCATGGAGTTCTTTCAACTTACAGAGTTATCGATAATTATTGATCTACTGAAATTGGTTGGTTCAACGAAGCGAAGTTTATGGAATTTTCAAAATATATCGATTTATCGAAATTTCAAGGTTATATAAGCTTATCGATTTATCACTGCTTATCGAGTTTTATCGTGTTAACAGAGTGTAACGAGTTACCAAAATGTTTAGATAGTTTTCGAAAAATGTGGAGCTGTCAAAAGTAAAAATTTATAACGGTATCCAAAGAATTTACATTTTTGAGTTATCGAAATTTATCGAGCCCTCGAATTTCACGGTTATCGAAATTGGTCGAGTTAACGAATTTTGTTGAATTATCGGATTGTAGTGTTCTTGAAATTCATCGAACTATCTATATGTATCAAATCATTGAAATTTATCGGCATTGAATGTATCGGGTCAATTCCAACTCCTGCCGGAGTCCTCCAAACACCTTCTCAGATAAAAAATTTTATTTACTTTTTAGTTCCAAAGAAGAAGATTTTCCGGTTAGTTAATTTGTACCGTATAAGTTTTGCTACGTGTTAAGTTAGAAAGCCTCTCCAAGGCTTCTAAAACTAGAAAAACTGTCGAATTTCGACAGTAACTGGCAATCTAGTTTGTATTAAATTCACCAGTTACTTGCGTTAAAAAGAGAATTATTCCGGACAATTCACCGTTCCTAAATTATTGCATTTTCAAACATCTATTGTAAATCTTTGTAAGGCATAACTTTAAGAGACACGCGAGTACATACATACATATGTACCAATGTAAAGGTGTTTTTTATGTGAACATACATAATATGTACATGCATACTATATACTTACATATATTTACATATGCATGCATTTATCAGTATATGTTTGTTAATGGAAAGAGCGGAGTGCAAAATAAAGTGATGCCATATATTCTTACACAGCTCTATAGGCTTAAATTGAAAGCTGGTTTTGGTTGCTGACCGTCTGAAAAGTACCCCGCCGACATAAAATATGACATTGGAAAAAAATTCAGAAAAATGCATACAAATGAACACAAATTCAAAGAGAATGTCCTAGGCTAAAGCAGAAAAGCCGAAAAAACAGTTTTTCTTCTATTTTTCACTGTGAATGACCTGACAAATGCTGTATAGATACGCCAAAAGCGCGGGCGCAGTTCGTTACGCGAGGTTGGCTGCATTGCATAGCAACATGAAAATATTTGCACAAATAAATATATATGTATGTAGTTATGTAGGTGTAAGTACAGATATGTATGTACGTACATATTTGTGACTTAAAAACTTTTATTTTGCGCTAAACCATGGCCGCGTAGCCACACCACAATGACAAAAAGACCTCTACGTAGCGTAGCATATGGACATGTGAAAATTTTAGATTTTATATATTTTTAAAATTTTTTTATTTAAATAAATATTTTTATTTTACGTACCATAAATATTTAAGCGCGCCGCATGCTGAACCTTTCCCGCACGATTCTCTGCAATGCACGAGTATTCGCCACCATCCTCCACCATGACATGGCTAATATTGACGTGACTAATTACATCGCCATGGACAGTGATGTATTGCCCAATCATAAATCTGTACAGCAGCATATGAAATGAAACACGCAAAATAAGAAATAAGAGTAAGAGATATGTCGTTAGGGAAAAAGCTGAAATATGATTATGATTATGAAAATTATTGCACAAGTTGCACGAGCGCCATTTCAATCAAAGCTAAGAAATAGATGTGTTATCCAAATATTATAAAGTAAACATTATTAATACTACATAGTAAATTTGAACAAGAAAGTACGCGTTGCAGTAGTATGTATATCAGTAACATGTCTAGAAATAAAATTATAGTTTAAAAAACTAAAAATACGCTTTTGTTGCAACAAGAATAAAAAAGTATAAAATACTCAAGTAGCACACTGGTGCATAAATTGGTGTAGATTTACGAATTTCGCTATAAATCTGATTAATTGCACCAAAATTCTCAAATTTACACCAAGTTATACACCAGTGTGCTACTTGAGTAACTTATAGATATAGCGATTAAGAAGAATAGGAAGTTCCCTAACTTGATTTAGTTTTACTTTTTATAAACTAGGTTGGAATAGGATTAAAGTGATTGGCCCGTAGTCATAGTCAATATAAAGCCGACTGTGACATAAGTTTCAATGGGATATCTGTCAAAAGAGCTGCAACTAACTTTACAGTCGACTTTATTTTTACTCTGACTACGGGCCAATCACTTTAATCCTATTTCAACCTAGTTTATAAAAAACTTCATCAAGTTAGGGAACTTCCTAGTCTTCTCAATCGCAATATCTATAAGTTATTTTATACTTTTTTGTTCTTGTTGCAACAAAAGCGTGTTTTTAGTTTATTTAAGTTAAAACGTTTTTTATATTTTTTAGTATTTTGAAATCCTGCAATAAATATTATACTGTCCGTATATTTCTCGTTCTACCTAATTCGTTCAATGCATTGTTATGGCATGGCTACTTTCCAGTCAGTTACGAGCTAACCAATTCCTCTATCCGAGTCGTTCTAGCATAGTGAACTCAGAATCGGCAGTTAACTACAGATTTTTGTACTGAAAACGCGACACAGGCTTGACCATTTGCAAATACCTTTGATTCTAACAGCGTAGTCCCTAGTACTACCTTGCAGGTATGCCGTCATTTCCAAATTTTACACGTATTGATGGTATAAGTTAGCACCAACTAAGTTGTAACTCAAGCTGACACAAAGACTA